ATGACCTTTAAAAGTGAGTGTCCGATCGGATAGGTTCTGAATAACGAACGGGTCAACATCATTGCACACGGGTAGTAACCCATAAGTGATCCGTTCTTCTTCTAACTAAAGTCCGAGCCCAAAGAAGCTCAGCCCAGTGCATAGGTTCTGTAGCACCGGCGAGGATCCTAAAATAGTTTAGGTAGATTTTTAACTCCAAATTTTGACCGGGCTGCGCCGTTAGGCTAATCTCTGTGATTTCCAACTACTAAGGGAATTTTGTATGGTAAGCAACAATGCACACGGGCGTCCAATCTCACTACCCAGAGACCAAGGGAAATACTAGAAGTCCCAGCCCTCCCGGGGATTGAACCCAGCATCTCTAGCACTAGAGGCGGATCCCACGCATCCTCCTCGTTGGAAAGTAAAGAAAAATAATAGTGACTGGTGTTGAACTAAGACTAAAGAGGTTTGAGGTTAATGTGGTCTAAAGGTTAGTGAATGTGTTTAACCATTTTATGATAGTACTATAAGTCGCATTACACGGTGGATAGTTTTATTGAATAAACTGCTTTTGTAGTTTTCAGGCAGTCGTACGATAGTGCACCATGGAAGTGATTTGGGCTATACGACGTAATTTTCCTAAAGCAAACTCAGGCACACAGTAGCCTATCTTTATTGTAAAGGTGGCATATTATCATAATCACCTAGCCCACTGGCTAGGGCAATCTCTCCACAAACTGTGATATTCAAAAGCATTTATTAGTTACACTCTGGGGACTTTAACACCCTCCGGATTGAATTGCCAACACTCTTTCATTTAAACTCCTAAGGGATTGAACTGCCCTCACAGTTTTATCTCTAACCTTCCAGTTATGGCCCCTGGTACTCCACAGGGGGTATTTATTCCCCCAGCCGACACTGGTAGGCATTCTGCTGAGAAACCATTGACCCGGACGCTTCGAGATACCAGCTAAGTGATTTTGTGTATTTGTGTAGTATTGTTTGATTTGTATGAAGGCTCCATAGCCGCAACGTTCACGTTTTGTTTGTATTTGTTATATTGTGAAGCTTGCTAATGTGCTAGCGGGGAGAAAGAAGGGGGAAAACAGAAGAAAAGAGAGCTAAAAAGGAGAAAATTTGTGATGAGGACAAAATGTGATAGTTCCCTGCTAAACAACAAAAACAGGAAAGTAAAGAAAAGACAGGGGTTCTTCTGCGCACAGATCCTAGAATATTTCACTGAGACCCTAACTATGGATATCTGTATAATGACGTTACATGACATCGACCTAACTACATGGGTACACACACCTAGACAACCACGGACTACAGATCCTAAATTAAGTCAAGCAAATGAATTATGATCACATTAAACAGCTGTTTATTTTACTTGATATCACATCAGTGTGGTCCACAAATAACGACAGTAATAACAACAACGTGCTCGACCAGAATCTAATTATATAGCGACCTACTATCCCTTAGCAAGAATACAAAATGGAAATCAATTCTTAAACCATGTAACCAACTGAACATACCGTGACCTGCGAAATCAGTCTGACTACGGCCTTTCCCTGCGGTCGCCATACCTGCTGACCGGCCCATTGTGCAAAGCAGTAGCCAGGTTAGGTTAGCGCAGAGTCCATCCGGAAGTAAAAAAGGCTGAAATTGAGTCAGTCTGGTCTTTAAATACCCAGTGGCCTGATTTTTCCCCATCTTCCGCCTAATACTAATAACTGGTAATGTTTCTCCTTTGGCCTGTTGGCCATTTTCAAACCTGAATAAATCCAAGATCTTCAGGCTGCTGAACTTAAGTTTCCAGCCTGTTACACTAATATACTTTTCATTCACTTGTATATCTTTTCTTGATATTATTAGTTCGTGCACTGACACCCCTCCATGCCATGACAAAAGGCTGTCTCATTTTTCTTCCTCTATCTCTTTTTCCCACCGATCTTATCCAGTGGTCACATGTTCGTTTTCTTTTTCTGATAGCATGACCCAAAAAATATGACGGTCTCTTCTGTCTGCGATAAGTTATCTTCAAAAACTCGCCTCTCAAAAAACATCTGGATTTTGTGTGTGTGTGTGTCCAACAAATTCTAAAGATTCGTCTGTAAAATCAGATCTCTGAGGCCTTAGGAAGTTGTTTGGCTTGTTTATTAATTGCCCAGGACTAACAGCCATGTTAAAACTGGCTCTATATAGCCTACAAGTGTGCTGGTGACACACACGATAAAACTAAAGGAAGAAATTAGTTTGAGCATGAACTGTTAAGGGCACTGCATTAGCGAAGTGGCTAGATGCTTACCTGCCAACCCCAAAAAAAGTCCTGGGTTCCCATCCACTTCAAGGTATACTTTATAAAAATGACCTCGGCTCTCAAAACGAACCAGCCTGAAACTGGTACCTGGAAGGGTGGCTGGCATGATAATGACACATCAATTAGTCCATAAAAATGTGGGTCTAGCACCATATGCCCAATTGTGTGAAAAAGGTCTTTGCTTGCTAACACTAACCTAACATTTTTAATGTTCTTTTTGTATCTATAACCTTTTAAAAGTAAAAACAAAATAAAGGATCCTTTTTGCATCATTTGGTCGTTGTACACAAGACGCAAGTCTAATATCTTTGCTGTTTGCATCATTTGGTCAATGGACACAAGACTAATATCTTTGCTGTTTGCATCATTTGGTCAATGGACACAAGACTAATATCTTTGCTGTTTGCATCATTTGGTCAATGGACACAAGACTAATATCTTTGCTGTTTGCATCATTTGGTCAATGGACACAAGACTAATATCTTTGCTGTTTGCCTTATTCTCAGAAGGTCATGGGTTCATTTCACGTCTGCACCGTTTGGTTCAGGAGTGCGATTTTGTGGCGATTTCACGGGATCATCACTACAGCTAAGGAGTTTGTACTTTATGTGATGCTCTCAGCAGGCGGCTGGCAGTTCTGTGGAAAGACCGAGCTATATGGGATAAATCCCAGTGCAGTGATGTTAATCCACTCACCTTTAACCCCCATCTTGATAGATCAATCGGCACTCCATGGCCATTACTTCCCAGGATATTTCCTGGTACCCAGGCTGGGTGGATCTATGAGCCAAGGACTTTAAGTTAGTATTCTATTACATTTTTCAAAACACAATAAAATAGAAACACAGGTGACGATAAAAAGCCAACTCCTGGGAATTTATGTTTTATAAAAAAAAATTTAATGAAAAGTAAACATTCTCTCATCCCCTTTCCTCAAGACTTATACAACATTTGTTATTATACTAATGACATTACGATAACAGTCCATGGAAGACGTATTAAGGAAGTTAAATGTAGAATATATCAAACAAAGGCAACATTTAATTAAATTCATCATTTCTATGCACATTTTCTATTTCAACAGGTAGAGAGTTCTTAGGAGCTATTTAGTTTTGATATACGGAAGTGAATCATGGAGATTAGCCAATTAGTGAGAAATTATGTGGAAGTGGCAGAGGTGTTTTATAGACGAATTGTAAAAACACCATGGTCACATAAAAAGAGTAATGAAAATGACTTGAAAGAAATTAACAAACGAAAAGAACTGAATACCCAAATGAAAGGGAGACAATCTAAATTCTTTGGTCACATCATGAGAAGGAGAAAGCCGGAATACATCGTGACAGTGAGAAAGCTGGATGGGAAAAGAGGCAGACGGTGGGATACAGAGAGAAGATGCTGGACAGTCTGGAATCATGTCACTGAAGATCATGAGATATGAAGGCTGTGAAAAGACATGAGTATCAATGCCACATGGCATGGACAATATAAAGTCATTATAATCATTTCAATAACACAACAGTACATGATATGCTAGTTGTTAAAGTACCCTCCTTAGGGAACCATATATACTTATACATTCACTTTCATAGAACAGCAACTCACTCGAGCACATAATATGTACTTATCTGCCCAAGTTGTGTTACTGCAGATCAAAGACGATACAGACAGAAACTTTAATCCTTAATATATATATATTGATGTCTGGATATATCTTGTGATCTGGAAGATATGGTAAAAATATTTTGGAATCATCATAACATTCTGAAGAAAAAAAAAAGTAATTACAATAAGAACTCCTGGTGTGGCTTCTGGGGCCCTATTGTGGGGAATAGACCCACTGCCCTCCCAACAAGCATGTGGTAACTCATTGGTAGTTCCTTCAAAGACGAAGAGCTTCTGCCTGAGAGGAAGGAACCAACAATCTGCATACAATTAATTCATATCTGTTAAACGCATGTACACACAATACTCAGGTTCTAAAACAAAACTAAAGTCCATAGGTGGACAAACAGCCAGAACTTTCTGCCAAAGTTTACAGCCAGTGTACTCAAAGAAGAAGAATATAATTAAAACTAGAAATGTCAAGACAAAGGTAGACTTTTGCAAACTGAAAAACACAGTCACCAATGAAAAGTAATTAACTGCAGTGAAAAAAAATGTTATATAGTACCTATATCATTGCATATATGTGAAATGTGAACAATCAGCCGATAAACTGAGAAACATCTAGTGGCATCAGAAATGTAGTTTCTGATGAAAAGGCAAAGCACAGTACGGATGAATAGAAAAAATAGTTGATACAGTCCTTGATGTAATCGTAAAGTGAATAGAGAAATTAACATGCAGTTAATTTTTACTTTTTTTTTTTTTTTACATTTGTTCTTGGTTTTTAGGGGGGTGGGGGAGGAGGAGAATGACCGGTTTTTACCTCATAATTTTTTTTCTAACTTTCTGTGTACCAATTATTAGCAAATGTAAGCATTTTCAATGTACTGTTTATTGTTAAAGTTTAGCACTTTTAATATACTGGTTATTGTCTCACTTAAGCAATTTCAATATATACTGGTTATTGTCTCACTTAAGCAATCTCAATATATACTGGTTATTGTCTCAGTTTAGCAATTTCAATGTACTGGTTATTGCCGCAGTTTACCACTTTCTGTGTTTTGGTTATTGCCTCACTTTAGCACTTTCAATGACCTGGCTGTTGTCTCAGTTTAGCACTTTCAATGTACTGGTCAACTATCATCTCGAGCACAGTCAGAGGCACAGCTCCACAAGACAGAATTTGGTGGTGAAATTCTCTGATGTCAAACTGGGTGCCTGCATGTAAACAAGAAAAAAACATTTAGTCCAAAGAATGACTGAACACAAAAAGGAAGCTCAGGAAAACAAAATACACACTGACATCAAGCAAACATTTTAACGTAAGCCTTTTTTTTTAAACTCCTTCAGTACCCAGCAGGTGTTAGTTTAACCTTGTCTATGCTAAGAATAGAAGTTTTAGGAGTTACCAGAGGATCTGGCCGATGCTTAACCTCAGGGGAAGGACGAAACGGATATACAATCAGACAGTTACTAGTGCCCTCGGAATTAGAACTCTTCACTTGCTGCTGAATATGGGGACAGAGCGCTCAGTGTCCTGAGTGCTGTGATGTTGATTCTTAATTCAACAGAACATGAGTTCTAGTGCAGTTTTTACTGAGATCCCTGGGGATCATAGCTGAAGATATGGAGTTTCTATGATGCTCTCAGGAGATCATATGGAGTTTCTATGATGCTCTCAGGAGATCATAGCTGAAGATATGGAGTTTCTATGATGCTCTCAGGAGATCATAGCTGAAGATATGGAGTTTCTATGATGCTCTCAGGAGATCATAGCTGAAGATATGGAGTTTCTATGATGCTCTCAGGAGATCATAGCTGAAGATATGGAGTTTCTATGATGCTCTCGGGAAAGGGCTTGCCATTCTGTGGAGAATGGTTGAGCCACATGGGAAGTCGATTCTCTTGACTTCAGCTTTATTCCAAAAAGTTTTACATTACTCACTAGTATTTAATCATATCTTGACTTTGCCTTTTTTTTTCCTCTGCAGCTTCAAATATATATGGTCCACACCTCTGCTTACCCCCACTGAATCAATCTTTTGGGTATGGATACTTTGTTCTGTTGCCATGTCCACCTTCAGCCCATCTGTTTGTTAGCTGGAACTGGTGGAGAGTTTTTTTGTGTAACGACCGTACAGGTCACAAGAAGTTTGTTTGTGTAACGACTGTACAGGTCACAAGAAGTTTGTTTGTGTAACGACTGTACAGGTCACAAGAAGTTTGTTTGTGTAACGACTGTACAGGTCACAAGAAGTTTGTTGTGTGTAACGACTGTACAGGTCACAAGAAGTTTGTTTGTGTAACGACTGTACAGGTCACAAAAAGTTTGTCCGTGTAATGACTGTACAGGTCACAAGAAGTTTGTCTGTGTAACGACTGTACAGGTCACAAGAAGTTTGTTTAACGACTGTACAGGTCACAAGAAGTTTGTCTGTGTAACGACTGTACAGGTCACAAGAAGTTTGTGTAACGACTGAACAGGTCACAAGAAGTTTGTTTGTGTAACGACTGTACAGGTCACAAGAAGTTTGTCCGTGTAATGACTGTACAGGTCACAAGAAGTTTGTTTGTGTAACGACTGTACAGGTCACAAGAAGTTTGTGTGTGTAACGACTGTACAGGTCACAAGAAGTTTGTTTGTGTAACGACTGTACAGGTCACAAGAAGTTTGTTTGTGTAATGACTGTACAGGTCACAAGAAGTTTGTTTGTGTAACGACTGTACAGGTCACAAGAAGTTTGTTTGTGTAAGGACTGTACAGGTCACAAGAAGTTCAGAAATGTTTACTAGAGGGAGGGTTTACCTTCTTCTGCCTTTTGCTGTTTGCATTTTCATCCTTTATGCTGCTGCTTCCAGTATCACTGGATTCATTCTCACTCCGTGGCTAAACCATTTCAGTCTTTGTTTCTTAATGAACTTAAAGATGAGTATTGTTCCGTTAGTTCTTCTTATCTCTTCATTTCTCACAAACTATTCTTAAAGATGAGTATTGTTCCGTTAGTTCTTCTTATCTCTTCATTTCTCACAAACTATTCTTGTTCTGTTTGCATCCTTCCTTAACCATCTTATTTCACAAGTGGTTAGTTTCTTCTAGTTGTTTTTAATGTCCAAAACTATCATTTGTCTTTTTATCTCTGCTTGAATAGCCAGGTTTTGCAATATCCCGGTAAGTTAATTAATAAGCGATATTGTGGCTTGTTGGATTCTTGTTTGAAGACGTTCTTCATCCTTTGAAATGCAGCTTTTACTTGGCCTATGCTGTTCTTAATCTTTGTCAACATTCTTCAATTTAATATTAAGATTGTCCCCAAATTTTTTAATTTATTAACTTGGTTAAGCTATATACAACTGATGGCAGATTTGTTAAGAGCTGAGCGTCTGAAAAGAAGCATGCTGGATACATGCTAAGACAACAATGGTCCTGAAATCCCATGCTTTATTTGTAGAAAACTTGTCTAACCTCGAGCGGATCATCGCCGTGTGCTGTGATTCTCAAGCCTCCCTATAGAACAATATAACACTATCGGCTGGAACAATGGGGTGGTAACTAACTAAGCTGCATCCATTATATGAGGGGAAGTCAATAAGTTAAGTCCCAATTGGTTATAGGATGGCAGAAAATGTAGTTGGTGGTTTCTAAAGGTGTCATTAGAAGTTGAATGTGAAGTAAAAATGTGATTTAGAAAACAGAGCACACAGTTCTATGCAACAGGTCTGGGAAGACTGACAAAACGATGGGACAAGTGCACCAATGTTGGTGGAAATTATATTGAAAACTAAAGGAAGCAGTGTATGTGTAAAAATAAACGGTTCTCAATTGATTATCATCTGTAGTTTTTTTTAATAGTCTTTTTAAACCACCATGTGTATGCCCGGCTCTCTAGCGGAATTGGCTAAACCGAATTTCGCGGAGTCCGGGTGACGTACTCCTTGTGGTTCGGGTTCAATCCCAGGGGTAGGCAGGAAAGCCACATTTTCTCCCAGATTTACGGTATTTACAATGGAATCAAGGCCGAAAGGTTGCGATATCCATAATACCGAGCCTAAGGGTTAACAACTCATGGCTTCTGGATACTAAAACAAACAAACAACCACCATGTGTGACTTGCTTATTGACTTCCCTTCATAATTTAATTCCACATACTGCTGTTGTCTTTTTCTTTGATATAACAATTGTTGTTTTCTTGATATTCCTGGAAGGGTCTGGATTTATTTATCTGCCCTATTTAATTAAAGTAACAGAATGATCAACCAAAGTAAATCTCATAAGAATGTGGTTTTTTTTTGGGGGGGAGGGGGGGCGCGACATTGTGCTAACGTTGCCAAACATGGACCCTGACTACAACTAACGAGCGGAACATAGTAACAACAGACATGAGATGTCTTAGGAGAGCTGCCAGTGTGACAAGAAGAGAATGAAGAAATTAGAAGAAGACTAGGACTGAAACTAGTCATACAATTCATTAAAGAGCAACAAATGAGATGGTTTGGCCACCTGACAAGAATGCCCTGGTACCAGCTGCCACAGTCAGCCACGCTGAAGAAATATAATGAGCACAAAGCAAGGGGAAGACCATGCAAGGAATGGAGCAACACCATGAAGAACAACCTAACAGAAATGAACAACTTGCACAATGCATTAGGAAAAAGCACACAAACGATCCTTATATCTTTCCCCAACACCTTGCTGAGGTAAATGGGAGAAGAGAAAAAGAAGAAGAGATTGGTTTACCTATTAAGTTAGCAATATTTCACGACTTTTGGCCATCTATGCAAAATCCGTTTACTTCTTGAAGTCCATGTTCACCTTGACTTAACATTCTGTTTACTCATATGTTATTCTTAAGACTACCCATCAAGCATAGTTTATGAAAATGAACATGAAGGAAAAAATGGTACATTACAGCCAAGGTGACACAAAGAAAGATATTATGATATGCCCTGCCAAGGCAATGGTAGCTTTTAGAAGCCTGAACAAATTATAGTTTTAAAATCTAGTTACACATTTTTAACTCTAATGTTATTTTAATTTTAAAATATGCCACCGAAAGTTGGAAAAGCATTAGAGACATGTAATGAAAATTAAAATCACTCAGTTAAAAAAAGGCTAATTCAAGTAACTGGGATGAATTTGAGATAGGCAGAAAAAAAAAGAGACTCACACAACCACTAGTATTACCAGCTTTTTAAAAAAAAAGTTAGTTGTGTATCTTTTACAGGATGTTGCAGAACCAACCCAGCATTTTTTGGCTGTTGTAGTTTTTTCTAGGCAAATCTGCATTCAGTAGTTTGCCACTGCTTTTTGGCTGGTTGGCTTCTCGATACCACTGTCGAAACCAAGGCAAGGCGCAAGGCCTGCAGCTGGGATTGAACCCAGCACCCCGGCATTATGAAGTGTGTTCGCAACACCTAAGCTACAGATGCCTTTAACAGTTATAACACAGAAATTGGTCATACACTAGGCATATCCTGAGAAGAAGCTAACAGAAAATCACCAAACATGGACTTTAATGTTTGATCCAGAAAGTTTAACGAAAAACAGAATACATTAAAAAACAACAATAAAAAAAATATGATTATTGATGTCAGCCACATAAACAAAACTCCCATATGACTTACCTAAAATATTCTCAGCCTTGCGTCTCAGTTCCCAAATTTTTATCTCCCCTACTTTGTATGCACAAGCCTTTGAAAAAAATATTTAATTAATTATGCAACCATTATACTGGTGCATAAATACATTTCTTACAAGAAGAAACAATACTTACTAAACATTATGTGAAATAAGCACAACAGTTACATGAAATATTACACATACAATCTGTACAGAAAAACAGGACATTCGTGTCATGAATGACCTTTCAGCTGAAAATGTTTCACTAAATCAATCAGATTATCACTAATAAATATATATTTTAAAATGATTTAAAAATTAATAAATGCGTACTATGCATACAACTTTACAGTAACTCATAAAACAAACAGTTATTAAATAGGTTGATTTTTTAACAGATAAGACATTTTTGGTCACAAAGGAAGACATAATACATCGTTGAAGACTATAGACGAAGGAGTTGAGTTGAGCTGGTTCAAGAACTGACATCAGAGCACTCGGGAATTTCCATGTGTGCTCTGTCCTCATCTTCAGCAGCCAGCACAGAGTTCCAATTCTGATGGTACTGGTCACAATCTGGTTATATGTCCGCCTTGCCTTTCCTCTGAGTGTAGCGAGCCGGCCAGACCCTCTTGTTACACACAGGTGCCTCATTCTCTCCAGAGGAAGGAAACATACAGAATAAATTGTAAGAGGAAGACAAAGAATTAAATGAGAGGACAGCATATTGAGATGGACGAAGAAAGTGGTTGTTGTTGTTGTTATCGATCCAGCGGCGCATGAGCTTTCGCCCTTTGGCCCAATGCCATGTAGTGGAATTTGCATGTTTTCACAAGCTGTTCTTTTCCTCCGTACAAGGTGTTCCACTTGTCTGGTCTCGGAGGGAGTAGCGTTCTTCTTGTCTCACTGAGTTTTGGGCACTCAAAGAGATGGTGTTCAACAGTTTCGTAGGGGTAGTTACATAGCTGGCACTCTGGGGAGTGTTGTGGCTGTATTCTGTTTAGGTGTCCATTGAGTGGAGTATGTTGCGTTCTAAGTCTGAAGATGGTGGCCTGGTCCCTTCTTGTTAGATGGTTAATGCTGTCATTAGGATCAGGGCCAGACATATGTCTATAAACCTCTCTTCCAGTGTCTCCCATGGCCCATCTGTTCAACCAAGTCTCTTTGTTTATAGCTCTTATCAGTGTTTTTGCTGTCTGGAGGGTTGTCGCTGTAGGTGGTTGTTCTTGTGTTGCTCCTTTCTTTGCCAATCTGTCAGCTCTGTCATTACCTGGTGTGCCGGAGTGACCTGGAATCCACTGCATCACTATTCTGATGTTGTATGAGGTAATAAGCTGATCGGCATCCAGGATTATCTTGGCTATGTCAGTTCTGCAGCGTTCATTGCCCTCCAGAGCTTGAAGGGCAGACATTGAATCTGTGAAGATGACAATATTTTGGACCTTTGAGGGGTAAACATCCATTACAGTCTTTAGGTGGTATACTGCTGTTTCCAGTGCAATTATTTCAGCTTCATAGTTTGAACAGAATTCCCCGAATGCATCAAAAATCTCTTCAACAGATCCATCGGGATAACCTATGTAGATTCCGTAACCTGCTTTAATGGTAGCTTTAAATGCTGATCCATCAGTATAGACATGTATCCATTCTTGGGGGTAAGAATCAACGGTCTTTAGTGATGAGTTCATAAGAGCGATTGGGTCGGACTGTTTGGTTTCCTCGCCTACCAATTTAGTTTGGACTTCTGGAGCTTTAAAGCGAGCATGTGGTGGTAGGTTTTTTGCAACATTCTGAATTCCTTGACGTCTTTCTGGGAGGTGGTATCTGTCCTGAATTTCATTAACACAGTGTAAAACCGATTTGTGCTTTATTCTTTGTTTGGACTCCCAGAAAGTGGTCTTACTGTATACATCCTCCTTCCTTCTGTTAATGACTGTTATGTTTTGTTATCACAGGTGGTGTTACTACACACAGGCCATACCCATGAGCACTCCCTATGCAGCAAAGACTCCAAGGTACCCTCTACTGACTGCTCCCATTCCCTGAGTGGGTTCCAGGGCCTTATTTGTTACAAGAAAGGGGGGGGGGGGGGGGGGGTTACAGACCCACTGCCTCTCCTTCCACACCCACCCCAAATCCTCACACCCCCCCCCCCCCTCACAAACCCATCTCCACACAGGCATGCATGCACGCTTGCACACAGATATATATACAACAAGCAAGTTGAAAAAGGTGACTAGTTAGGGGTGTTTGCTTTGAAATCAGAGTGCATCTGCCTGAGTGAGAGGTGAGAACGACCAGTCCTCATACAAAAAAGCCAGATCTGTAGAAAAGATATGCATGCAAAACTCAAGTTTGGAAACAAGACCTAACTGAAGTGGACCAACAGCCACAACTTTTCAAAGGAGCTTACAACCAGCAAATGCTAAGAAAAAGAAGACTGTTTCCATCAGAAGCTAGTTATGAGACACTGCTGATGGCTGTGACCATGTAAACAACAAACAACCCACCTGCCCTGGCCAGGTAATGTATCTCTCCACCTCTCTTGCCATTTCTGCCTGAGGAGTTAATACGTTGTCCACCATATACTTGACGGCTTGCTCTTTGCTCCAACTGAAGGAGATAGCACAGTTACTTACACAAAATTTGGTTTGCTAGAATATTATGTTTACCAGATTCATATTTTCTTCTTCCCCTTCTTCGCATTCACCAGCCGTAAACTCTGGTGGAAAGTTCCGGGTGTCGGTCCAATTCTTTGCTCTTGTTCCAGAGCATGAGTTTTTGCGTGCACATCCATTTTTACAGATCTGGCTTATTTGAATGTAGATTTCTGGTTCCTCACCTCTCACGCAGATGCACTCTATCTTCAAAGGAACCAAATGCATATGAACAACAGTGAGGCAGGGGCTAACATGCTCGCCTACAGATCAAGTGACTATGTGACTGAGTCCTCATCAATTGTGCATGTACCATTTTCTAGTGGACATCTTTATGGCACACTTGGAAAAAAATGATCCATGGAAATCAATAACTTGACTTTTTTACCGATATTATGTAGATGATATACTAATTTTTATCACACACAAAAAAAAAGGAGAATCAATGCATGCTAAAATGAATAAAGCACACAAAACTCATTATCCTTGAGATCACGGCACAATTCAAAGGTCAGTTCACTGTAAAGACACTCGGACAAGACAGTACATACATTTCAAGTCTCTTGAAAATGTTATTTAACTGCATTAGAAAGATTTTTTTTCCAGTGGTACAAACAGAACTAGAAACCCTCAAATGAATGCTATTATCCAGTGGGTGTCCAGCTGAATTTATCAACTGCCACTGCTAGCCACCTAAACCAACTCCACGGGAATGCTGGTTCCTAAACTATATTTATTAGCCCAAAGCAGCGGTCATTCAAACTTTCGATGCTGTTACGCCAGTTATCAGGTTACACTCATACCACCATGCCAGTAAAAAAAAAAATCCCCTGTTACCGTAATCCAAATCAAATTTCATCTATCAATTTTAATTGCTGTACTCAGTCAGGCTCCTGTGTGGCACAGCGGTTAGGGTCACCTTAAGGGATCCTCAACCTTCAGCAGTAGAATGGAGCAACAGGCAAATTAGTTGTACAAAACTAGAAGGATGTATAGAGAAAGGCCCCAGCCTGCTGCAATGACTGTGGTTCAGCTAGTCACCCATGGGATGAACTGTAGTGCAGCAACCATATCCACGAACAGGAGATAAAGAAGGAACATAGTGCACAGATGAGTTGCCTGAGAAAAGCCGCCAACCTAACCATCCAAGATTGGGTGAATAATGATACTATCAGACACACTGTGCAAACAACACCATGTACTGGATTCATCGAGAAACAGCAGATCAAGTGGTTTGGCCATCTCGTTAGAATGCAGCAACATCAAATACCATCACAGGCACTACATCCATCTCAGAAGATTAGCTGCAAGAGGACGGCCATGAAAAATATAGATCGGCAACATTAAAGACACTCTACACCTTCAAGACATGAAAAAAAAACCGTGGCAGCCCTTCCACGACGCTTATTAGCAGAAGTGGTTTATAAGTATGCTGATGACAGTACATTCTGGAAAAACAGATATTCCCATGTGATATTTCTCAGTACCTTATAACATTACAAGGAATTTTATGCGATTCCCATTTCTTGATGAAATAAAAGTTTCATTTCTAGTTTCATAACTTTTGATCATTTCTTTAATTAAAAGACTGAAAACTATTTACCCAAAAGCATGAAGGCCTGTGTCAACGACAAGCCTGGCAGCTCTAAAACTCTCAAAGCCATAACGTCCCAATCTGAAACATTATACAAGACTTTGACTACCCAATTAATATATTTTCAAACATTGAAAAAGACTAAAACCTATTTATAAAATATTATCAAACACAGAATATTACTGACAACCTACATCTAAAATATTATTAAATATTTAATAACACTATGGCTGTCCTATTAAAATATTACATACTGAAAAAGACTAAAAACCTATTTCTAAAATATCATCAAACACAGAATAAGGCTGACAACCTATATCTAAAATATTATCAAATATTTAGCAAGACTATGGTTGTCCAACTGAAATATTATAAAACACTGACAAAGACAGTTACCCTGTGTGTAAAATATTATCAAACACTGAATAAGACCTGCAACTTATATCTAAAATATTATGATTTTTGTATGAAAGACTTTTGATTACTCATATCTACAATATTATCAAACACTGTATGACCTTGATTACTCATGTCTACAATATTATCAAACACTGTATGACTCTGATCACTCATGTCTACAATATTATCAAACACTGTATGACTTTGATTACTCATGTCTACAATATTATCAAACACTGTATGACTCTGATCACTCATGTCTACAATATTATCAAACACTTTATGACTCTGATCACTCATGTCTACAATATTATAAAAAACCCATAACTTTAATTAGTATTTTATCTTTCTTCTTTATTTGCTCTTTGAAAATTAAAATTAAAAAAAAAATTAGTTGGCATATTGTGGTGTGGTTTACAGCTAGACTGCAATATCTGCATCTTCTAACCCGTCACATCTAATTTCAGCAAACTCTAATTAGTCCCTTTTTACGGCACTCTTGTTGGGAGGGGGGGGGGGGGGGGCATCTATTCTTTGTTCCCCAAACTGGGGCCATGGAACCCATGGTGGAGTAAAAAAGTATCAAACATTTAGGACTTTAACTGCCAAAGTCAGCCCGAGACAATTGTCATTATCTGATTAGTACCTGCTGAGAGAAGTGTGTGCAGCCCCAATGAGACAGAAGGGGGACAGAGGAAAGTCGAGGCAGACGTATAATCAGACTGCTAGTGGGTAGTGGCTGCTCAAGATTAGGAAGAGTGCTTAATAGAATGCTCAGAGTGCTGTAATGCTGGTTCTTGACTCCACTCAACAGCGAAGGCCTCCATGATGAGTACTTGTATTTTGTCCCCAGCAAAAGGTTGAAATTTTTTTTTTAAGCCCACACCAATCTATTCACATCACACCCTTATCCACACACTCCATAATTCACATATAAACAACGACAGTCTCAGCATCCACTTACAATTCAAAATTGTCTTCATAGACATTCAGCTCTTCTCCCAGAGACTCAGAGTACAAGCCCCAGCCCTGTGGACAGAAACAAAATAAACACCAGTCAGCCGGTGTCTGTAGCTTAGGGATTGTGAACTCAGTTCTGCAGCCCTGACCTACAACGGTTCAAAGTCAGTTGCAGGGGATTTGATAGCAGACCACTTTGCATTGATGACAAAAATGGTGTCTGGACTGCCAGAATAACTAACAATGACTGCCTGGAAATGGCTAATGAAAGTAGAATATTATATACAACAGTGAGAAGGAGACAAAGTTTTGTGGTCATGCGATGAGAAAAGGAGAATAGGAAAATATCGTGATGACTGGATAGATCATTGGTGTATGAGGCAGACAAGGAGATGATAGCGGATGGCTTAAAACGGTGGCATGGAGGAATATCATCAGAGGAATTGATCCAGAACACCAAAGACCGAGATCTGTGGAGATGCATGAATGCCTACGTCAGGTGGCAAGGCACTTGATGCTGATGATGTCATACCATTCAGAAAGCAATGGTATATTACTGAATGCCATAGCGCCTGATAAAACCACAAACCGCCAATAAAGGTGGGTTTAGTTTGCGATGTCGTGTAGAAGATATGCTACTAACACCAACAAAGAAATATTGTCACATGTAAAACTCATCCTCAGAAATATTAAGTGTAACTCTAACATGCCAATGACAACCACAATGTTCCAATGGCTTCAGGTGGAAGGAGTGCATTGGAGAGGACACAGGCCTTTTCTTAAACTGTGGAAATACAACCTGAGAACTTTATGTCACAGCAAGGAAAACAATGCCTGTAGCCATACAGTAAATGGTTAGAAAAATGATATACGAAGAGTGGTTCATATCACTTGATAAAGCATTTTCTGTGCATATCATGGATATTATACCCAGGTATTCTGGTGTTTGGGGTAAACAGCAGACTGACAGATTGGCTGCTGCTGATACTCTGGGCAGTAAGCTATTTTATGAAGACTGATAAAGACTCTCAGATTAAATTGATAGTGCAATGGAACAGAGCATCTAGGCCTTGAAAGGTGATTCAGTTGGTAGCAGGCACGGAGTTTGGATGGTTTTGAATGTGCATGGGAAAGGACATTCATTATCCTGCTGTGCCATTACATGTCGCAATCTATTCCTCCATTCCATTCTATCCTGTGCTATCAGTTCAATATCATGAATGGAATCTAGGCCAGCAGCTTTGGCCTCTCTCAGCAATATTCATCTTAGGGTTTCCTTTGGGCATCATTACCTCCTTAATCCCTTTATTTCCCATTTTAATGCCTGTTTGGTGAATCTCTGCTGGTTTCCCCTCAGGATGTGTCCAATGTAGTACCATTTTCTTTGTCTCATAACTGTTCATACAAGTGTTTGCCCAGACATTTCTCTTATTTCTGAAATCCTTTTGAATTCAATTTTATTTTCATAATTTTCCTCAGACATTTGTTTTTGAATGCATTTTACTTAGGTTCCATGTCTTTACTGTTTCTCCAACTTTCACTTGCGTATGTTAAAAGTGAAACAACATTAGAATTGAAAATTCATAACTTGGTTTTAAAAATATACAATTTAGGGTTCCATATCTTGTTCAAGAGAAAGGACAGGCAGACTTTAAATCAGGTTGCAAATCACCCATTCAGTTTGGGAACTCTTCACTGGCTACTGAGGAAACAGACATCCCATGTGGGGGAATGACGTCCTTTTTTGATTCCTTCATTCATCACAGCATGTCAAGGTCTCTTGATCCTTTATCACTTCCCACCTCATGCACTTTCATGCTTATGGTGTCTTTGATATCCTGTATCTAAACACTGTGAATGCGCTTCATAATTTCAAAGTGCCAGGTTCAATCCCAACTGCAGGCAATTTGGCAGCAGATCATCTTGCATTGGTTTCAACAGTGGCATCCAGAGTTAACCATTCAGAAAGCAATGACAAATTACTAAATGTAAAATTACCTAGTGAAATCACTCCGTTTAAAAGACGCGATGCTGTTTAAGAACCAGTTTTGTGTAAGGGTGTGTTTTTGTGTGTGTGTGTGTTTTTTGTGTGTGTTTTTTTTTAGTAGAAACACCAAGAGGCAGGGGTCGGCCAAGAAGAAGATGGATTGAAGGAGTCACTGATATCTTGAGACTCCCCAACATCACAGCATACCTGGCAACTGAGTGCGCCACAGCTCGGAAACTGATCATATGTCAACCTGCTACACATAGTGGCACAAAGCAAAAAATGGACAAAAGAAAGAAGCATACTATTATAGACCATACAGCACTTTATAGGTGATGAAGACAATGTCATCCCAGCAACTTTGACCTAGCAGAATGTTTTCTGAAACCTATTTTCAGCTGAGTCAATCTAGAAAACCAGGTTAACTAAAAAATTTTTACTAAAATGAGAAATTATCTATTACACACACAAAAACCATGCAGCTTATGTAAAGTAGACTTTACACTATGCCAAAGTCTTAATTGTCATGCAACTATACAAGTTGTATTTGCCATTCAATGTTCTAAAGCTGTTTTCTCAAAACAAGATTAAACATTTAGGTGACTCTGGCACAGTGTCAACAAATTATGTCATTATTTTGTACAATTACCTCAACATATGCAGTATTAAAAGAAAATCTTGCAGGTGCTAAGTAGTACTTGCTGTCCTCTGCATATCTGCGAAAGTCTGGCAGATGTGTGGCAGCCAGTGCATACACTCCTTGAAGATGGTGGCCAGGCTCTCCTTCGTGAAGGCTCAAAGCTGGAAACTGATATGGAAGACTGAAAATAAAGAATCTTTCATTAGCAGAAGATTTGGAACCAACACTGTTTACAACCTGACATGTTGGTTCTTTATCAATCTTCTCCTTCTTCATGCTCACCCACTGTAAACTCTGGCACAATGTACAGATTGTTCATCAACTTCTGGACTTTTGTCTTGTTCCAGAACATAAGTTTATCAAGCACATCCATTTTACAGATCTGGCTTATTTGTACACAGACTGGTGGTTACTCTCCTCACAGGCAGATGCATTCCAGCTTCTAAAGAAACCTCTAACTAGTCGACTTTTACGACATGCTAGTTGGGGAGACAGTGGGTCTATTCTGTCTTTCTCCACAACGAGGCTCTGGAAACAACACAGGAAGTCTTATCAATCAACATCATAGCACTCTGGGCAAATCTACAGATGCTTTGTCTCCTTCAATAACTGTAGATGCTATTGTTTCCAGAAACATTCTGGTTGTAAACTATATCAATCAGTCCAGGCATAAACTACACTTCACTAACATTGGAAATCTTAATAGTCCTAGAAAAACATAAACGTAAAATTACAACACATAAAAGAAATGAATAAGTGGCAGAGGCAGACCAAGAGAAATTATGGTGGATGGCTCAAGTTAATAGCATGGACGAATATTATCATAGGAATTGATCCATAACAAGAAAGACAAAGATCTGTGAAGATGCATGAATGCCTACGCCAGCTGGCAAGGCACTTGATGATGATAAGAAATGTGGCTGGAAAAATAAACAGAGACAGAGTCACTAATGAAGAAATAAGAACAATGGTAGACACAGTACCTGTAAATGATTTCACCGAACATCAAATAATCAAATGGTTTGGTCATCTGTTCAGAATGAAACAAAATCAGCCAGCAGCTAGAGCATACTACATGATAACAGCAGGCTACAAAGCAAGAAATGGGTAGATAGAGTAAAAAAGACTATGAAATTAATACAAGCCGCCACACAACTAGCAAAAAACAGGAAACTACATCCAACTCTTCTCTGCGATGCTTCACGATATAACAGTCGGATATAAGAAAAAGAAGAAGATACAACTGGATAGATTGCTATCAAAAGATGCAATGGAAACTGAGAAACTGTATACAACTGGATTTTTCACAAGCAGATGGTAATGGTGAGAAAATGAATATAACTGGACTATTCTCTCATATTACGGATAACATAATTATATTCTAGATAACACAAAGAAAGTGACTCACAAAGAGAACTGATTGACTATCAGAAGGAAACAATACACATTCTTTGGTCACGTCATGAGAAAAAAAACTGGAATACTTGACGATGATGGGAAAGCTGGAGGGGAAAAGAGGCAGAGGGAGACCGAGAGAGAGGAGGCTGGACAGTCTGACATTGTGGCATGGAAGATCATCTGACCGAAAGTACACAAAATAGAAGGTTGTGGAAACTCCCAACACCCCATGGCATGGACTATAAGAATACAACTTTAACTGATTATCTCCAATATTATCCAATCAGGAAGATCTCATTTTGATATTGTGTCTCGAACAGCTGCAAACTGTCACATCATTTTCCTGCTCCTAGCCTGTAAAAGACTTCTGACTTTATTTGTATCATGGCATGAAAAAAAAATAATTTACTTCACTTTTTAAACTCATTAAATAATAAATTGATGCAGATTGATGATGGGGAGAGGGGGGTGTTGAGAGGTTCTGGCAGATGCTCCAGGCTCAAAGGAAAGGCAAGACAGGCATTTAATCAGAATGCTACTGGCATCATTAGTATCAGAGCTCTTCGCTGGCTGCTGAAGATGGGGACGGAGCACTTATGTGAATACCCTGAGTGCTGTGATGTCAGTTCTTGAATCAAATCAAATAAAATCAATTAAATAAATTAAAATGTCAAACAATAAGGAAAAAGTATACACTCACCATTCATCCAAGTTGTGATTGTTAATATAGTAATGTCCTTCCCTAGAACCATCAGGAGTTCCATTCAGGTACATGCCCATAGGTGCATCTTTCCTTGATTCAGGAGCTGCTTCAATTCTGAGGGTTTTGGATGGAGGAGGGGGAGCATAGAAAGTAACAAATTAGTCAGTTTCCTCCCTTCCATTACTGATCATTCTTACCAAGTTGACTCGTGCACCAAAGCCATTTTTGTGTATTCGTACACCCAGGCATTGTTCACATGTTGAATCAAAATTTGTTTGGAAATTGTCTTCATGGGCTGATTGTTCATGACTGGAGGCGTTTGTGACTCGAGGTACTGCTGTATTATATTTTTCATGCAATGCAGATTTATGCGTACCAGTCTAAAAAGAAATTTTCCTAACAAACAAAGGTGGCCATCGAGTTTCAATCAGTCTATTAAACATGGAATTAGCATCAACAGATGAAAATTATATTTCATATCCCTATTTTACTGAATAAACTGCTGAACAGTCGGTATAGCTTAAGAGGCTATCTTTAAAACTTCTGTCAAACTGCTGGTACAGAAAGTCTCTTATTCAAAATTACATGTTGTAACTGCTGCTTGTATGAGTTTCAACTCAGGCCATCCTTCCTCTCAGTTTCAAAGTATGGGATACTAAAACTGAAGAATAACATATTCATTACTGTTAATAAGAAGGATGAACCTGATTACATAGTTTTTTTCTTTTTTAATGTGGATTTTAATCTCTTACACGGCACTGAGAAAGGTACAAACAGATTATCAGAATGTTTTCTCTCTCAATTTGTTCTTTCCCTCCCTCTCCCCAACCTTTCACTACTGCTGTCCTATTTTCATTCAGTGCATCACATTTGCACCTAAGTCTGCTACTTCAGTCCCCTAGACTGCCCCAGTGCTCCCACACCCCACCATTTGACTGTAGCTACTACTGCACCCCTAGACTGTCCCAGTGCTCCCACACCCCACCATGTGATTGAAGCTACTACTGCACCCCTAGACTGTCCCAGTGCTCCCACACCCCACCATGTGATTGAAGCTACTACTGCACCCCTAGACTGTCCCAGTGCTCCCACACCCCACCATGTGATTGAAGCTACTACTGCACCCCTAGACTGTCCCAGTGCTCCCACACTCCACCATGTGATTGAAGCTACTACTGCACCCCTAGACTGTCCCAGTGCTCCCACACCCCACCATGTGATTGAAGCTACTACTGCACCCCTAGACTGTCCCAGTGCCCCCACACCCCACCATGTGATTGAAGCTACTACTGCACCCCTAGACTGTCCCAGTGCCCCCACACCCCACCATTTGATTGAAGCTACTACAGCAACCCTGGACTGTCCCAGTGCTCCCACATCCCACCATTTGATTGAAGCTACTACTGCACCCCTAGACTGTCCCAGTGCCCCCACACCCCACCATGTGATTGAAGCTACTACTGCACCCCTAGACTGTCCCAGTGCCCCCACACCCCACCATTTGATTGAAGCTACTACAGCAACCCTGGACTGTCCCAGTGCTCCCACATCCCACCATTTGATTGAAGCTACTACTGCACCCCTAGACTGTCCCAGTGATCCCACACCCCACCACTTGATTGAAGCTACTACTGCACCCCTAGACTGTCCCAGTGCTCCCACACCCCACCATTTGATTGAAGTTTCTACTGCACCCCTAGACTGTCCCAGTGCTCCCACACCCCACCATTTGATTGAAGTTTCTACTGCACCCCTAGACTGTCCCAGTGCTCCCACACCCCACCATTTGATTAAAGTTTCTACTGCACCCCTAGACTGTCCCAGTGCTCCCACACCCCACCATTTGATTGAAGTTTCTACTGCACCCCTAGACTGTCCCAGTGCTCCCACACCCCACCATTTGATTGAAGTTTCTACTGCACCCCCAGACTGTCCCAGTGCTCCCACACCCCACCATTTGATTGAAGCTACTACTGCAACCCTGGACTTTCCAAGTGCCCCCACACCCCACCATTTGATTGAAGCTACTACTGCAACCCTGGACTTTTCCAGTGCCCCCACATCCCACCATTCGATTAAAGCTACTATTGCAACCCTGGACTTTCCAAGTGCCCCCACACCCCACCACTTGATTGAAGCTACTACCGCAACCCTGGACTTTCCCAGTGCCCCCACATCCTACCATTCGATTGAAGCTACTATTGCAACCCTAGACTTTTCAAGTGCCCCCACACCCTACAACTTGATTGAAGCTACTGCTGCACCCCTGGACTTTCCAAGTGCCCCCACACCCCACCTTTTGATTGAAGCTACTACTGCAACCCTGGACTTTCCCAGTGCCCCCACACCCCACCATTTGATTGAAGCTACTACTGCAACCCTGGACTGTCCCAGTGCCCCCACACCCCACCATTTGATTAAAGCCACTACTGCAACCCTGGACTTTCTTAGTGCTCTCCAAGGGGCTGTAGCACTCACTTTGGGAAACATTGTGCTGGGACAGTGGCTCTCAACCTTCCTAATGTGGCAACCCTTTAATATAGTTCCTCATGTTGTGGTGACCCCAAACATACAATTATTTTCATTACAAATTCATAACTTCACTGAATATGTGTTTTCTGATAGTCTTATGTGACCCCTGTAAAAGAGTAGTTCGACCCAAAAAAGGGTCACGACCCACAGGTTGAGAACCGCTGTTCTAGGATATCTAGCAACATTCACTCTCTCTAGTGATTATGCGAATATCATCATCATAAAACTAGTAACCAGTAGAAACATCACATCATTCTCATCATAACCCAAAAGAAATATTCTCCATTTATCAACATAGTGCTTTAGAATAAATATTGCTCCCCAAATACTGCACAATCAACACTAAACTGGGTTAAACAGTTATGATTTTTAATTGGTTTAAAAAAACACATTTTAAAACATAAACTTCTAATATAAACTTACTTCAAAAAACAAATTTTAAACATAAACTTCTAATATAAACTTACTTCATTGGCAAATCTGGCAGGTTTCCGAAGAGCTGTGACAGTTTGGGTTGAATCTTTTTGTAGCACAAATTTTTGACATACTCTAGAATCTCATCCTATTTTTTGTTGATGAAAAATGTATAACAATGCTTAAGTCCCCTGTAAAGTATTGCTTACAGCCAGCAATTAATAACGTTCAAAGGCTAAACTTTTATTTATAATCTGAAATGCCTTTGGAGAATTATAGTTCAAACTGCAAATATCTTTGCTGTTAATGTAACCCTTTCTCTGGATTCAGAAGATCAAAGGAAAAATAGTCAAGACAGAAATGAAAATGTTTTGTACTATGCTAGGTGTAACAAGGAAAGATCGACTAAGGAAGGATGATAGCAGGAGGAGAGTCGGCACAGAACCAAGAAGGAAAGTCGGCACAGAACCAATACTTAGCTTCATAGGTAGACAGCAAGTCAAATGGTTTGGCCATGTAACAAGATTGGCATCAGACAGGACACCACAGAGAGCAAAGTTAATACACATACAGCAGTAACAGACCCAGAGGTCAACCACGTAGAAGATGGACTGCAGAAATATCAGAGACCTTGAAAAGTACTTTACACAAAACGAACAGAAGTGCCCGTTCTAGAGATCTCTTCCTGCCCTGATGCCACAAGGCATTTCAGGAGTAGAGAAAAGAAGAAGAAGAAGGTAACTCTTTCTTCACTGTCCTAACTTGTTTTTTCTTTTTTTTTTTCTTTTTGTCTCCTGTATAATCATCAGTCTCAGTTCTCGTTATGCCTAGTGGCACATGAGGCTTCAGAGAGGACTTTCCATGCTTTCCTGTCCTGTGCATTCTTTAGTGCAGTTTTCCATGTCAAAGATGCCGCACTCAGGTCACTTTCCATCGTTCGTCTCCATGTTGTTTTTGGGCGCCCCTGTTTTCTCTTTCCCTCTGGTGTCCATGTGAGAGCTGTTTTGGCAGGTATATCAGAAGTCATTCTCATAACGTGGCCAAGCCATTTCCATCTTCTCTTGGTAATCATACTGTCTAAAGTTTCTTGGTTTGTGGCTTGAAGTAGTTTAGTGTTTGAGATTGTATCTGGCCAGAAAATGTTGATAATTCTACGTAGACATGTGTGGTGGAAGGTGGACAGCTTGTGTGCATCCTTTTTGGTCATTCTCCAACATTTTGCTCCATAAAGAAGAACTGGCAAAATGATGCTCTTGTAGTCTCCTGTATAAACTGCATTCATTATGCAGATCTACTATAGAGTCTGACACCCATGACCCCCTGAAGAGTGTCTCCATGGCAAAGTGGTCAAGCTGTTTGCCTTATGCTCTGAAGGTCATGGGTTCAATTCATGGCTGCACCGTTCACTTCATGATTTACACAGATCCTGGGAGATCATTGCCAGAGCTGTCAAGTTTGTGCTTTGTGCAACACTCTCAGCAGGCAGCTGACCATTCTGCAGAAAGAGACTGAGCCATACGGGATAAAACCCGCTGCAATGAAGTCGATCCTATCGACTTTAATCTTTTTCCCATGGTTGTTGCATCTGGCAGCAGAATAAAATCTCCTGGGCTGTAATTAGAATACTGTTGTATTAATCAGTAGAGATTGTAACTGTGAGATGACACTCCATAGGACTAAATAATTCTCAGTTCTATAATGTTGACACAAGAAATATATTGCACAATTTATTTCCTGGCAAATTTGTGTTTTATCATCAGGTGCATTACTACAGAGTTGACATCAACATTTTTTTAAAGTTTTCAGAAAACATGAGTTGTTAACCCTTTGGCTTGGTACAATGGAAATTGCAACCCTTCAGCCTTGATTCCATGATAGGTACCGTAAATCTGAGTACAACAGAATCCTTTCACCTGGAATATACAAATACATTGTCTCTTGTTACAATGTATATCAAAGTGCTTACTAAACTAGAGTCGATATAGAGACTTTAATCCTGACCTTTTATCAGAATACCACAGGGACTGTAGCACATAGCTCTCCTTTTCCTTTTCAAGCTTAACCCTGCTGCCCTGAGAAAGCTGTTTTTCCTATATTTTTTGGTAACTGATGACACAAAGTCTTTGGGTTAGTTAGTTAGTTAGTCTTTCCTCTTGTGTCGAGTGCGGCACATAGGGCAGAAGTCATGACTCTCCATGCATGGCGGTTCGTTGCAATCTGTTGTAGGTCTTGGATGTTTGAGTGGCCCATGAGTGAGCCTTCCCTGATGATAGTTCTTCGTAGGGTTTCCCTTGGTCTTCCACGAGATCTTTTCCCCTGTGGTGTCCAAATGAGGGCTTGGTTAGGAAGTCTTGATTTATCCATTCTAAGGGCGTGGCCGACATAGTTCCAGCGGCGTTTTCGTATAAAATTAGACACATACTCTTGCCTGGATTCTTGCCTTATTTGTGTATTGGTTCGGAAATCTGACTATTTGAAATTTAGTATTCTTCTAAGGCATTTATTTTCAAAACTGTCTAATTTTGTGTCTAGAGTTTTCATTGATTTCCAGCTCTCGCATCCATAAGTTAGTACTGGAATCACACAAGAATTGAAGATCTTTGGGTAGTGGCCATTATACCTAAATAATAGCTTTTGTACTGGCTGTAGCCTGTGTGGACATGGTGTTCATAATACAATATAGTAAAAAGTAAAGTAAAGATCCCTTTCCACACCTTTAGGCGTATTGGGCAAATGGGAAGAGCGCCCATATTTTTACAGACCATCAGCACTCTGTGGGTAATGTGGTCAGCATTACGCCGGCTGTCTTTACTTTCCCAGGACAGCCCATCCTGGTACCCATTTTAAGCTGGGTCGACCTGCGACGCCCCGTACCATGATGAAAATCCACGCAGCCTGCAGTGGGTTTTGATCGCAGTACGCTATAATATAATATAATAATTTATTCCCCAACACACACAAAGGTCCAGGGAGTCGCTGCAGCTAGACGCTCACTGCGGATCGGAAGGTCGTGGGTTCGCTCCCTGGCAGAGAGAGACTTTTTTCAAAAATGACCTTGGCTCCTAAGTCAACCCAGCCTTGAGTGGGTACTGGGTGCAGTCCTGGGAAGTAAAGGCGGCTGGCGTGATACTGACCACATCACCCATCTTGTGCCGATTGGTCTATAAAAGTATAGGTCTAGCCCTATATGCCCTATACGCCTAAAGGTTTGGAAAAGGGTCATTTACTTTACTTACACAAAAGTCCATACATTAAAATGGATTTTTTTTTTTACAATTTTTTTTTTTTCAAAACTGACATCACCATTAGTTAGTTAGTTAGTCTTTCCTCTTGTGTCGAGTGCGGCACATAGGGCAGAGGTCATGACTCTCCATGCATGGCGGTTCGTTGCAATCCGTTGTAGGTCTTGGATGTTTGAGTGGCCCATAAGCGAGCCTTCCCTGATGATAGTTCTACGTAGAGTTTCCCTTGGTCTTCCACGAGATCTTTTCCCCTGTGGTGTCCAAATGAGGGCTTGGTTAGGAAGTCTTGATTTATCCATTCTAAGGGCGTGGCCGACATAGTTCCAGCGGCGTTTTCGTATAAAATTAGACACATACTCTTGCCTGGATTCTTGCCTTATTTGTGTATTGGTTCGGAAATCTGACCATTTGAAATTTAGTATTCTTCTAAGGCATTTATTTTCAAAACTGTCTAATTTTGTGTCTAGAGTTTTCGTTGATTTCCATCACCATTACATCCTAATAATGTTGTATGACGTCACTCTCCTCCACATGGACTAAGTCAACAAAACCAGGATGAGGAAAGCAGTTAATCCTTTGCTCCATTTGTATTTAGTGATTAGTTCCCTAATTTAAAGAACACATATTCATAATAACAATTAAGAATAATCGTTTTAGTGATTTGATGGCCAAGTTGTAGCTGTGGACTTGAGGCTTGCCTGTCTGCTCCGTGGTCTAGGAGTATAAAAGATCCCTTTTCCACACCCTTAGGCGCATTGGGAATATCGGGCTAGACCTATATTTTCATATATAGACCAATCGGCACTTGGTGGGTGACGGGGTCAGCATCATGCTGGCCGCCTTTACCTCCCAGGACTGACCTGGTACCCACTCAAGACTAGGTCGACCTGGGAGTCAAGATCATTTTTTTTTAAATAGTCTGGTTCCATTGGGATGTGAACCCACAACCTTCCAATCCACAGGCAGGCTTCTAGCCGCGACCGTGACTCCCGGTCTAGGGGTATGACCCCTGGATATTTTATAAAAACTGCCCCAAACTCAAAATTTCTTCTCCTTATCTTTTTCTTTGTTTAGTTTCTTAGGGTAGTGTTGAACAGAATTGTAAGAAAGTGTGTCTTTTTCAGTACAACTATGAAAATGTTATTTGTTAAGATTTGTACAGGGTTAATGACAAGTGTGAACTAGTGGTAGTGTAACTTCACATCTATTGAGAGGCATGTCAGGATGTAACCAGCTCATGATTCAGCACAGAACATACAAACCAGTTAGGGTTAGGCTTGAGATGCAAATTTTTTTTTTTTCAACTTCCTAATTTTTTGTATTCTCTCATCAACAGTACCAATTCACACAGGACGAAAGTTAGTTGCATATCCTTTAGAACCAACCACAGCATCTTTTGGCTGTCTGTGATTTCACTAGGCACTTTTACGTTCAGTAGTTTGCCATTTCTCCTAAATAGTCGGCTCTTGATATTACTGTCAAAACCATTACGAGATGGATGGCTGCCAAATCGCCCACAGCCTGGACTGAGTTTGACGCCTCAGGCTAACAGAATGGTTCACAATGCCTAAGCCACAGACATCAACCACAGGAAGGGATTGGTTATTAATGTTATGATAATTCATTTTTTTTGTTGTTGATATAATTGACTTTTCCCCATAGTAGCTCTGTTTCTGTGCCAGTGAAAATCAAATGAAATGACCCTCACTGTCTCATTTGAAAATCTGGTGAACAACAATTAGTCCTGGAACAATCCAGTCCTGGAATAAATGACTTTATTCATTCATGACAGTGTTGACAAATAAAAGTGACCAAACTGAAAGTGGTTAACTCCTCAGTTAGAGCACAAATCAAAATTAGTTACCATGGAAATGAGACCTCTGAGGAGGGCTGCAGGAGTGACCAGAAGAGATCAAATCAGGAATGAGGTCATAAGAGAACAAGTCAACATAGAACCAATTCTAAATCACATACAAAGGTCAGCAAATCAAATGGTTTTGCCAACAGAGAAAAGTCCCTCAGATACCATATCATACAAGGCACACAATAAAAGAAAAGACGGATGTAGAAGACATGATAGACCAAATACGCATGCACACAAAAACAAGATTTAAAGATTACATCAGAAAAATTCTTCAACAGCACCATGTGTCTATGGCTGAGGCAGTCAGAAGAGCAAGAAGCAGAATCTTATATCTCCTTCAACCCTAAAGCGATAAAACAGGAAGTGAAGAAGAAAATCAAGAAAACAAATAAGAATGGGCAACTTATACCAGCTGAAAGCAGATTTGTTAGATGCTCACAGATACTCAGGAATATTTCAGTGTACCTTTGTTTTGAAGTGACCCTTCTGTCGTTTTGTTATTGCTTCCATGATCTCTGGACAGGTTTTTCCCAGCTGCTCTTTTTCAGCAACCTGAAAGATCCGCTCATGTATTCGAGCAACCTCCTTGAGCCCAAGGTCATGAACTTGTTGTGGGGTCATGCTGCAAGTCAGGTGAAAATTAAGACACTGTTGGTACCACTGGAGCCCATCTTTGATGGTGCTGATCCCTTCACCAGGTCGCACATGTATGCTGTATTCCTTGCATAAGAGAAGAAAATACATTTACATGACTACTATAACACCTGAATTCACACAAAAACGTAGAATAAATGTAAAATAAAATACAGTTCTAACCTTTATACTTATTTCCTGGTGTGCGGTTACATATTACATAAGATTTACAGTCTATTTCTCCATTCTGGTCTGTCCTGTGAATTTTTTGGGCGGTAAATCATGGATGAAATGCACTTTGGCCTCTCTCAACAACTTTCATATTAGGGTTTCTCTTGGACGTCCTCACTTTCTCAATCCATTTGTTTCTTACCTCAGTACCTGTTTGGTGATTCTCTGGACACTTCTCCCTAGGATGTGTCCAATAAATTATCATCTTCTTTATCTTACAACTGTCGATACCATCGGTTGTCCAGACATTTCTCGTATCTCTAGCCTCAGGACAAGAACAAAAAACAATTTTACAGAACATGTTTCTTCTTCTTTTCATTTGTCTGAATGACATTAATTGTGTTGTGCCTGTTTACAACATAGCTGTTATATGTTCACCTTTCACCTGCATCCGTTCGCCGGGTTAGCCTTTCCAGAATATGTTTGAGTAACTGAGCTTTTCTTTCTTTTTTTTTTAAAAGCTTGACTTTCAGACTGCACAAGACCAGAACATGTTCACTATCAGAGTAGTTTGCCCTGGCTATGATTTTGATCTTAGAGGATTCACAAATAGGGTGTTATGTAAGTATATAAATAATATTATTTCTTATTCCATAACCTAGACTTTTTCAGGTCTAGCATCTTGTTAGATGATTCTGGAACCATGGGTTTAACCCTGTTTTGTCCTGCTGTTATGGGTTTTTGATGTCATAAAATATTAGCCATTATGTCTTTATAACAGTTCTGGTACTGGGTTCAACTGCATAGTGTGTAGACATGGTGGGTATGACTATATTTACAATAGGCAACCATCAGTCCCTGGGGACCATGGAGTTGTGCCGCTGGTTTTGGGAACAGCACTGCTATGACCGTAAAGTCCAGTGCGGGAGTGGCAGTCTCTGCCACTCAGTCCACAGAAAAACCTTAATACGCTATCGTTCTGAAGCTGGATTTCTCTCATACATCTCCTCTCTATAGCTTGCTGCATTTGGCCTCTTTCAAACTGCAACAGTCTGTCTTTCACTGCCTCCTTCCAAAGCAGTCAGTCTGTAGCTGATCTCTCGAACCGGTTTGTGCCATTGTTGATATCTTTCAGGTCATATTTGCATATGTCCTTGTAGAGTAGCTTTGGTCTCCTGCAGGTCTTATCCATGTTACCAGTTCCCCATACAGGAGACTCTTTGGAATGTGACTGTACTCCACGCGAGAGACAGGTCCCAATCAGCGCAGGTATCATTGCTTCAATAGAAAGTACACTGTTGGAATTCCTGCTCTTTTTTCCCCACAAATGCAATTTTCTGTTAAATTTTTTTTCTTCTTAAATTTTGACAATTCCTCAGAAATTTTCTAATTTTATTAATATTATTTTGGGTACATTATCTCAGGCTTTTATTTATTCTTATTTGATGTAAATTATTTAAACTGAATAAAATATTCAGCTTGATATGCCTCGATTTCAGAATTTTTACATTTAAAAATTTTAAAGTTTTCTGAAATTAACTGGTGTAATTTAGAATAGTAGGGGCCTCAGAGATTTATATATAACTTAGGGCCTCATCTAATCTAAATCCGGCCCTGGTTGTGGTTTAAGCCAGGAGAGTCCAAGTTTCTTTCATGTAGACCGCGATGAGACCGTTGTTCTGCACAGCGCCTGCTACAAGATGATGATAATGATGATAAGTAAAAATACAGAGTAAATAACCATTTTCATGCTAGTGGCACATTGGGCATGCAATGCTAGACCCATATTCAATAGAACAATTGGCATTCTACAGGTGATGTGGTCACAACTGGCTCCAGCTCATGGGCCGTGCTGCTGACGTCACCGGGTCGGGGTAACGATGCGTTAACACAGCGGTTCTCAAACAAGAAATAAACTATTTTCAACAGTGGCGAGAGAAGACAACTTAAATTGTAACTTTAAAGTATCTACATGCCTTTTTTAATAATTTCACAATTTTCAGATGACTTTTCTTGATTATTGCTGCGGCACCCCTGGCCTACGCTCACGGCATCCCAGGGTGCCTCGGCACCCAGTTTGAGAACCACTGCGTTAACGCATTGTTAGCCCGACCCGATGATGTCACCAGCACAGCCTGTCAGCTGAAGCCGGTCGTTTTGTGGTCAACATTATGCCTGTCATCTTCACTTCCCAGGATATTTTCTGCTACTCATTTTTAGGCTGGCTCAACTTGGCAGCCAAGGACAATCATTAACAAATGTGTCTTTATGTGTTCTTAAATTTCAAATAGATCGTCAGGCTTCTGAAATCAAAAATACCTATGTAGTGAATGAGCTGAGACATTTGAGTACTTACTTCTTCTATGTATGTCTTTAAAGCTTTCAGAGCAGGAACAATTGCTGATTTCACTAAGTCTCTTGCAGTCACTTGAATTTTCTCACTATTCAATCAGACAAACAAAATCTGTTTCAACTATGTCATCAGAAATGTGGTTCTCTGGTTAATAAGAGAGTGCATCAGACATTTGTGTGTAAAATTTACAATTTTGAAAAAAAAAAAAAAAAAATGTGTTATAAGAAGTAAGAATAATAATTTGCAGTGGCAAAAGAAATTAAATTCTAGTGAATCAAGAGGTCAAGAAAATATGCTAGCATCAAACAGGTTAAGAAAACCTGGGAACAATAAAACTAGAGTGTCTTTAGGCTGGAACCTACCAGGTCAAAGGAATATTTAAAGACAGTTGAAAATAATTTGGGAAGTATGCAATACTGCAAACAAATTAAGAACAGTTTAGAGGCAACTGAGATGTGGTTATTAGGAAGAATGTTGCGAATACCTTGTACTGCCAGAATAACTAATAATGATTACCTGGAAATGGCTAATGAAAGTAAAACATTATATACAACAATGAGAAGGAGACAAAGTTCTTTGGTCATATAATGGGAAAAGTTGCACTGGAAAATATAGTGACAACTGGAAAGATCACTGCTAGAAGAGGCAGAGGCAGACAAATAGAAATGATGGTGGATGGCTTAAGACAGTGGCATGGAGGAATAGCATCAGCAAAACTGATCCAGAACACCAAAGACCGAGATCTGTGGAGATGCATGAACGCCTACGCCAGCTGGCAAGGCACTTGATGATGATGATGATGATGAGCATACCATAACACAAGATATGACGATTTGGTGTAACTATGCTTCATTGAGAGATAAATGGCAGGAAAAAAAAGAAAGGAATTGACCAGCCTCTATTCCTCAAGCAAGTTCCTGGGCACCATTTTGGTTTCCCTCCCACCCACCCAAAATAGAACAGACCCACTGCCTCCCTAGCAATCATGTCATACAAGGCGACTAATTAGGAGTTTTTAAAAAATCAAGACACAGTTTGTTAATTGACAGATCATCCTCACTGTACATCGCACAAGTCCATAAGTGCTCATGTCTGATCTTCAGTATATCCCTCAGCGTGTGGCAACTGATAACACTAGTTCTGTGTTGGTTTACTATTCTTCTGTGGCTACCTGTATAGTGTTCATGTTTGTCAACACCTCTTCTGACCTGATGTTCTTGTAGTCTTGTGAGTGTTAAAGATTCAACCTCGTCTCCTGCATAATCTTCTCGTCCTGCCTCCTTGAGAGCACTGAGAATGTCAGCCCGGTCAACTATTTTTCCTATACCTAGCATGTCCCTGCCAGCAAGCCAATCTGCTTGTTCATTTCCTCTTATACCAGAGTGTCCTGGCTAAAAATGAAACTAATTCCTTTCAGACGAGATTTCCTCAGCAACTCCAACTATTTTCTTCAAACCTATCCTGTCTCTGCCTTCTTAAGCATGTTCATGGAATCGCTCAGAAAGCATGCATGGGGAAAATGCTGTGTCTCTTGCCACATCATTGCCTTTTGTTACCAGCATCACCTACATTTATGAATAAACGTAGTTGAGGCAAAAGCCCCGCTATTTTCTTTTACAGTTTTCCCCTCGCACCAGAACCGTGAAAACCCATCAATCAAGATATGCTGGGCGGAAAGGCAAAGAGATCGCTTTAAATACAACACAATCTGCCAGCTAAACTTTTAAGGGCAGAAAAAATTGGGCCCAAAAAAAAGGATAAGTAAAAACATCTATGACAGAGAAACTGCTGTTGCATTTTGACCCTATCTCTCTCAAGACTGAAAGGAATTTTTTTTAATGACGCCTAAAAAATATTAATCAGGTTATTTTTCAAATATAGAAGTAAAATTATTCTATTCTTTGGATCACTAAATGGCATAAATCCAAAAACATCAAGTGACAACTGTGAAGTAAAGGACATTTTTTATGTCAGTGGTGCATCAGGCATGTGATGCTAGATATTGATAGACCAATCGGCACTTGGCGGGCGTTAAGATCAACATCATTCTGGCCGCCTTTACTTCTCAGGATATTCCAGGCACCCATTTAAGGTTGGGTCGCCCTGGAAGGCAAGGTTAATTTTGGAAGGTACAAAAATCTGACTCAATACGGATCTGAACCCAAGACCTTCTGGCCAGCAGATGAGCATCTAGTCTCTACACTACCGAGGCTCTTATGCAACTGTAAACATTTACAAAAATATGTGACTGCTGGACATCATAAATAAAAAATTGACCAGATCTGAATGACATTACACATGGGCCAACCTAGAGATGTAAATGGATTTGCATTCTATGGAGGAACCACATTTCTATGGCTTCTAGATGTTATTTCTAATCAAGGCTCATGATTTACAAGCATACAGTTGTATAACCATTTGTAACATCTTTAACTTCTAGAAATCAAACAGATAAAGGGAGAAGCAAAGGATACTTCTTCTTCTTCTTTGCAATCACTGCTTGTAAATTCTGGATGTAAAGTGGTGGTTTGTCCACCTCTGGACTTTAGTCTTGTTCCGGAACTTGAGTGTTGCATGCACATCTGTTTTACAGATCTGGCTTATTTGAATGTTGACTGTTGGTTCCTTGCCTTTCAAGCATATGCACTCTGACCTCAAAGGATGCCCCCCGCCCTCCCCCGTTAGTGGACTCCTACAACATGCTGGCTGAGAAGGCAGTGGTTCTATTCTTGTGTTTCCCCAGAATAGGGCCCTAAAACCCACATGGGGATAAAAGACACAATTTACAGAAATGTAACGTACAGTTGTTCTTTAGGAACCTGGGGGTGCTCTTCAGTAAATGGCTTTAGGAATGCTTGTTCATCAATGGCTGTATTGAGGATGGATTCTATTTGCTTTGGGACTCTATTCTAGAATAAAACATTGCAAAATGTCATTATGATATTTGTACTTCTATTAGTAAATACTCCTGAAACATTTTCTGAGCTTAGAAATTGAAGCTCTTAACCAAGCAGACATCTTCTTCTTCTTCTTTTTCTTCTTCTCCTGTTCTGTCTTTCAGCATCAGATTTTAAAAAAGCATAAGGTGCAAGCCTTGGCATGTGCTATGTAAATGCTGGCATGTGCTATGTAAATGCTGGTATTTACAGTTTTGGATTCTCCATCAATCCATAACTTGCCTGGTCAACCTCTACTCCGTAAGTATCAGTATGACTTCTCTTCTCACTGTTTCTTCTGTGTTGGGAAATGAACAGGCAGACAGACTGGCTGGCTCTGCACAACTTGGTGGAATACTGATGCACGATAAGGCACGTGATTAGTGGATTGTGGGAGAGCCTGTACAGTTCGGAGGAGCAGATGGATCACCACAGTCTGGTGAGATTGATGCAGGGGGGAGTGACGAGAGGTTCTGGCAGATGCTCGTGGCTCAGAGGAAAGGCAAGATGGACGTTAAATCAGAATGTTACTGGCACTATTAGTATCAGAACTCTTGGCTGGCTGCTGAAGATGGGGACGGAGCGCTTATGGGAATGCACTGAGTGATGTGATGTCAGTTCTTCAATCAAATCAAATCAATCTTCGAGCAAGACCTAATCCACCACCGGCTTGTTTAAGGCTGCCACAGTTAAGGCAGTATTTAAACAGATGGACTCCATCCAATCTATCGAGCCAGAACCAGATCTTTTTTGCCTTAATTGTCCTGTGTGCACTACTTGAAAGGAAACATCGCACAGTGTACAGACTGGCATTTTTACTATACTTCCGACAGATTTTGGACGAAAATAAGACTTGCACACTGTTCTACAAGGACAATAACTGGTCATGTTCAGTCTGTACCTATGTTCAACTATTTTGCTGACAGGCCCAAAAAGGTCCCTGACAGTGCAAATATTACTGCATAGCTGTAAACCACAACACACTGTGCCAGCTGACTTTTTAAGGGTCAACACAGAAGACGAAGAATCCTCTCAGCAATGCACAATTTGGAAAACTGTTTCACTGAGATTATCACAAAGTGAAACAGTCGTTGTATCACATAGATCATACTGTGCAACTGTGGCCAATGTATCATCATCATCATTGTCCTGTAATGCCCTTGTATGTCACATAGGGCTCACTGTCTATTTCTTCATTCTTTCCCATCCTATGCAATCTCTTTGATATCATTGAGGAATCCAGTCCTGCACCTTTGGCCTCTCATCAACGTTCATTTTAGGGTTTCTTTTGAACGTTCTTGCTTCCTCAAATGTAAAAGACTGGTATTATACCTTCAGTGAAACAAGAATTTAAAAAGCAGAAGAGATGGCAAATCAAAAGATATGATAAATAAAGTTACTATATAATTATACTTAAAAATTTACTTACCACAGAAGTGGAAAACTGCACAATTCCTTCTTCAACACCTTTCTTTAGGAGAACAATCACCTGTTCAATCTGATTACGAAAGCACAATAAAATATTCAGCAGTTATACAGCTTAAAGAAATTGACATTAGATGCAGTAAAGAAAACCAAGTATTGGGACAGCTAGCCCCCCTCTTACAGCATAAGACAATCCCAACCAGCACAAAGAGACATCTTATTCAAAGCATATTTATTCCAACTCTGTGCTACCAGTGCCAGACATGGTCACTCTCAACAAACCATAAAATAAAATTAGTAACCACGGAAATGAGATGTCTGAGAAGGGCTGTAGGAGTGACCATAAGAGATAAGATCAGGAATGAGATCATAAGAGAACAAGTCGGCACAGAACCAATTCTGGATTACATACAAAGACAGCAAGTGAAATGGTTTGCCCACTTAGAGAGAATGCCTTGCGACACCATACCATACAAAGCATACATGGAAAGAGAAGAAGGACGTAGAGCACGGGGTAGACCAAGAACAAGATGGAAGGATAACATCAGAGAAACTCTACATCAGCACGATGTGCCTATGGTCAAGGCAGCCAGAAGAGCTAGAAACAGAACCTTATATCTCCCTCGACACCCACAGCGGTAAAAGAGGAAGTGAAGAAAAAGAAGAAGATACAGCTTAAACTATTTCACACTTCCCTACATGCACTCCCCCATCAAGCTCTCATATGGACACCAGAAGAGAAAAGAAAACGGGGAAGACCAAGCGAGACCCTGCTTAGAACCATCATCAGGGAAGGCTCAACCATGAGCCTAATGAACATCCAAGACCTAAAACAGGTGGCAACGAACCGCCAGACATGGAGAGCTATGACCTCTACACTGCCCTAGGCTCAAGAGGAAAGACTAATCAACTGCAAAATAATTAAACTAACACATTTTTTTTTAATGGCTAAAAGTTACCATTACTATGCTACAATAGCTCCTCCTTCAGGAAAGTATTTTTCATACATTTGATATTCCCCAGAAGGTGCTTGCTAAGGCGGGGAAATGACACTGAAAGCTATGCTAAGCTCAAGGGTAAGTCAAAAGGATGAGAACAAACAACAGAGAGACGCCCTTATCCTCCAGGAGGCTGGAACTGAAGTGTGGGGTACATTCCCCCCCCCCCCCTTTTCCTTTTAGTAAAACATCTTTCTGTCATGAACAGATATGTAATGAATAGATATAACTTGTGAGCTTAAAACAGCAGTCCATCTAGGAGAAGGAGCTCTAACCACAAACTTCCAGTCACCAATGTTTTTTTTTTATTTTTTATATATGTTCTGTAGACTCATCTTTTGTTAATTACATATGTTCTGTAAGACTTCTCTTCTGTCAGTTGTATAATGTTTTGTCTCTTACCCTCTGTGGTAGCTTCTGAAGCCTGCTGAGGTACTTGTTGAAGTCTTCCTCTGTATCATACTTCATGTACGAAAGCGTCAGGTCAAAGTCTAAGTGAATCCCTTCTAAATAGCTGATGGGCATCAGGTAGCTGTAGATAATAGTTACAACAGCTAATTAAAGAGGTTTACTTGCATTTCACTCACAATGGGGTAGTACCTACATGCAGGTGCGCCATCATAGAGAAGATTGAATGCTGAATGTTGAATTAAGAATCGACATCACAGCACTTGGGGCACTCCCATAAGTGCTCCGTCCCCAGCTTCAGCAGCAAGTAAAGAGTTCCAATTCCGATGGTACCAGTAACTGTCCCAAAGTAGACCAAGAACAAGATGGATCAGAGAAACTCTATACTACAGCATAATGCATCTACGGTCGAGGCAGCCAGAAGAGCTAGAAGCAGAACCTTTATCTCCTTCAACACCCAAAGCGGTAAAAGAAGAAGTGAAGAAAAAAAATAAGAAGGCGCATCAGATGCTAGAATAATATTTGTACAGACCAATCAGCATTGGGTGTTTGATACAGTCAACGTCAGGCTGGTCGCCTTTACTTTCCCTGGTACCACTGTTAGGTTGGGTCGAATCAGGAGCCAAGGTTATTATATTTAAAAAATCTGATTCAATGTGGAATCAAACCCAAGACCTGCGGGCAAGCATCTAGAAGTTATTCTACAGCTTTCCACAAGAACTGAAGCACAAGGCTATTATTGAGAATCAATGACAAGAACAGGAAAAAATGTTTAAACAAAACTATAAAACAAACAGATTTAAATTAAAACAATTATAACCTTTTGAAAAACACTTTATATATATATATATATATATATATATATATATATATATATATATATATATATATATATATATATATATACATATACACACACACACATATATACGTATATATATATATATATATATATATATATATATATATATATATATATATATATATATATATATATATATATATATACGTGTGTGTGTGTGTGTATACATATATATATAAGTAAAGTTAGGATCCCTTTTTATGCCTTTAGGCGCATCAGGCATATGGGAAAAGCACCCATATTTGTACAGACCAATCGGCACTAGATGGCTAATGTGGTCAGCATTACGTCAGCCATCTTTACTCCCCAGGACATACATCCTGGTACCTATTTTAGGCTGGGTTGACCTGCGATGCTCCATACAATGATAACAATCCACTCAGCTGCAGTAGGTTTCAATAGCAGTACACTGGAATTACGAGTCGGACTCGCAACGCCTAAGCGATGGACTCCACATATATATATATTAAGTAAACAGACAATGTATTGATCAGCACTCATTATTTATGTGTAACCTTTTGAAAGCGGAACCTCGCAGGTAAAGTTTAAGATCTTCCACAAGAAGTGCGTGACTCAAAGCTACATCAGGTGTACAGTCTGCTGTTTCCAGGGCTTCTGCTCTCTTCAGGAATTCAGCCACTGTTTTCTGTTCAGAAATGTTTTCAAAGTATTAACAAAGAGAACATTTTTTAGACAGTAAAATAAACAAATTAACTTACAGAATATTTTATAGACAGCATTAACAAACAAATGGTTTCCAGACAGTAAAAAATAACAGTCAGTAAACAATAGTGGTCTAATATCAAATCAGTACTGCTGTATGGAGCTAAAAATGGAGAACAACTAAAACAGTTATTATTAATACACTACAACAATTCATTAACTGGTACCTGCACTGAAACGACAGAATTAGATGGTGTGACAATCACTAATGTAGAGCTATGGAAGAGAACTGAATAAATCCCAGTGAATCAACAGCTGAGGAAAAGACACTGGCTTTGGATAGGACACAGAATGAGACAACCTGTAGTAGCCCTCAAATTACGTGTATGAAAGTTTAATGTTGAATGCTGAATTAAGAATCGACATCATAGCACTCAGGACACTCCCATAAGCACTCCGCCCCCATCTTTAGCAGCAAGCGAAGAGTTCCAATTCTGATGGTACCAGTAACTGTATGATTGTAAATGCATCTCACCTGTCTCTTAAGTATTAATTGTTGGCAGTTCACCTGGTAACTCCCCACAGTGCCATTCTCATCAGACCATAATGATCTATTTGTGCCTCCGCAAAAATGTGTGTGTGCCATATGTATGTGTATGCAGGCATGTATGTATATGTGGATGCCAAAGTGCGTATGCATAATTATATGAAAACTGAAATTAGCAAGGGATATCTATACAAAAGTATAGAAAAGAAAAACTACACATAATTTACCATCTACACTGTGCAGTTGCAACCAGTATCAAAGCTGTTACACAGGTGTAGTGGCCACTGCCCGAAGATGTCATTTTATTAAAAAAAATTGAAAAACCCTCACTAATGCCGCAAAACTGGCTCATGCGGGGTGACAAGGTTAAACCTCCACCCCCTCTTTCTGATGTCAGCTGGTCTGTATGTGTGGAATGAGTCATTTTCTCCTTGTTGATTAATGTTAATCACTAAGCATAAATTATATGCCTGTGAAGGCAACGTGAATAACATTGATGTTTTGTATGTGGCCGATTTGGTCACCCTAGACATTTATACCTCTAGTACATTGCTGGAATAAACAGTTGTTAGAACCAATAATCATTTCGTTGGCGTTTCCAACATTACTTGTTTCATGTTCAAGATGGTGTTGAACTATCTGTAAGTGTGCCTGAGAAGGCTGCATGCGATGAGAGCCTCAGAGAGTCCTTGCAATGTATGTGTGCATGCATATGTGTATGGAAGCATGTATTTATATTGAATGTGAATGTCATAGTTTGTATGTGTAATTATACGAAAATTGAAATTAGGCAGCAGTGCATATATAAAGAGAGTGCCATATTGATGGGACACATTTCAAATACATATGTGGAGCAAGTAGGAAGCCAAATGTATTACGAAATGTATGGAAAACACTGCCAAAGGAGGGAAGTTTTGCACTGTGTTCAGTGTTTCAAGATTACATCCATGAGATGGACACCACCTTAATGAGAACAAAGATTCTTTGGCTCTAACAATCATGTTCAGCATAGTTTTGCACTAGGATGGCCACTACCTCCCTTTATATGTTGTCCTTCAGTTCACTGATGATAGTGGGCAATGAAAGAAACATGTAACAGTAACTCCCATCCTTACACTTCCTGTAAAGCTGTATCTAAAACATGCACGACAGTTACTGCTAACAGTAATATAAATATAAATGTGTCCCAACAATATAGCCCAACCTTTATATATATATATATATATATATATATATATATATATATATATATATATATATATATATATATATATATATATATATACACACACACACATATGTACAACAGTATAGAAAAGGAAAAAATTCACATAAATTGTATGACCAACTTATTCGGTGTCATTATTTTACGAACGAGAGTAAGTAACCTCTACCTCCTTCTTTAAACAAGACTCCTCGCTAATATCATCCCAGCGATCGTCATACTGATGGAAGCCACAGAATGTTGCCAGTTCAGGGCTCTGATCTAGCCTCCACTTCCACACTTCATCACACAGGGCAAGAACTGCAGCATCACTTGTAGGCATCTCTGAACTAGAAACAAATACTAGAATCTAAATACCAGATTGGATAACATGTTACTTTGTAACTGTTGAATGTTGAATTAAGAATCAGGATCATAGCATTCAGGACACACCCATAAGCGCTCAATCCGCATCTTCTGCAGCAAGTGAAGAGTTCCTATTTTGATGGCACCAGTACTGTCTGAAGCACGTTCACAACCCTAAGTCACAGATGCTGATATAATATATTGACAGACTCAAAGAGCATGCTTAAGAAAGACTACAGAAAGTGCAAAATGAAATCAGGAGACTAATCCTCAGGTACACAAGAGACACCTCATGTCACACATCCTTGACCTGCCAGACACCGTCACTAGACACAAGAGGGCCGATACATACTTGGGTGTTGCTGTTGACATAAAACACTCTCTGGACAGCTGCTTATGAGTGAACAAAGATAAGGGGGTGGGGGGGGGGGGTGGTCCTGGAGGGCAGAAACAGAAGACATCATTTGCTTAATTTGCCCATCGAAAGATGTCAGGAGTGGCAGTGAAGTGACAGAAGCATGAGAAAAATGTAGCAGCACACTGAGATAATAATCACCCCAGGCAGGTATTGCAGAGAATGGAGCCAAACAGCCTCTGATACTGAAATATGTGACCTCCTCCACAAGCACACTCGACCAGGTGTCATCACCATCTATAATGAAGACTGTGATTTCGCTACGTACAGAGTGGGAATAAACTAGATGGCTGGGACTCACGAGCAGCAGCTACTGCATCTCCTGCAGCTTCCTCCATTTTATTGGCACTCTTCCGAATAACGGTCCAAAATTATTCAAAGACAAAAAATCCCATTCAGGGCCTCAAGAGGTCGTAGTTAGAGACTTGAGAGGTCATGTAGTTAAAAATATGGAACACTACAAACTATGCTTTCTTTTATTATATAATTTCGTTTGAACGAAATTACTGAGTCTTTGCTAGTACAGTTGATAAGCATTCTGCCTGTTGCACTGGTGATCGGGGTACGATTCTTCGGCGGGCTAAATTTATTTTTCTTTAAAAGGGTGGTTTGCATGTTGTGTTGTGATTTACAACTAGGCTGCGATATCTGGGCCTTTCGCTCGGTCTTGTGGTTAACAGCTAGGTTGCGATAGCGGCGACAAATTTTGTTTTTTTGGCTTTTAAAAGGGTGGTTTGCACGTTGTGTTGTGGTTACAACTAGGCTGCGATATCTGCACCTTTCGCTCGGTCTTGTGGTTAACAGCTAGGTTGCGATAGCGGCGGCGAGATGCTCAATGGTCATGTCACGGGCAGGTAATCTTTTTTTTCGTTGGCCCTTGAAATGGCGGTTGGCATATTGTATTGTGGTTTACAAATACGCTGCTAAATCGGCGCCTTTTGCTTAGTCTTGTGGTTAACAGCTAGATTGCGATATCTGCGCCTTTCGCCCCAACACATCTGACTTCAGCAGTCCTAATTAGTTGCCTTTTACAACATGCTTTTTAGGTGGCAGTGGATCAATTCTTTTTTTTTCCTCTTGGAACCCACAAAAAGAGTCACGGGTAACGTCTTGTGTGTGACTTGTCGCTAGTTAGAAGGGCATCATTACGTGATTATTATTGTTATGGAAGTCGATTATTGGTTGGTTGTAATAGTCCCTGGTTAAACAGATACAGCCTAATAATGACCATGAAATATATTGAGCTGACTGAGTATCCTCAGGAGAAGGGAAAAGGCGTTTAGAAATCTAGATATACTTTTAGTAAGATGATGAAAGATGAAGACTGCAGGTTACTTATATATTGCTTCACTAATGTTTGCACCTACTTTTCACTGTTTACATGCAGCAGTTAAAATATTGCCATTTTTTTAATTTTTATTTTTGAAACATGGTTAGATTTTCTCTTTTGGCACAGTATGAAAGTATAATAGAATGTGCTAACTGCCTTACCATTGCAACCTGTCATTTGCCCGTTCTGTCTCTAGACTTAGGAGTATTTTAGCTCCGCCCTCTCAAACATTTGACTATCTCTGTCCTTATGTCAATCAGGTCACAGGCATACCTTATTGTTCTACCCTGTTGTCCACGTTCCGCCCTTGTGATTACGAGTATGTTGTAACATCACTAGGTAGATTCCGTGTATCACATTTATGTGCGAAATTCGCCTGCTTAGACAACTGGACCCACTATCCTGTCTGAACCCTGGACATCAGAGTTGTCGGCTGGTCTGAGAATGCCCGCTACGTTTCAACTCTAACCCGTGGTAATTAGCCACCTGCCTGTCCGCAAGTTCAGATGATCATGTCTTCTGTCCGTCCGACTGGAAGATTGCATAATTCTTCAAACGTAGATGCGTTCCCTGGTCCAGCTGTTAAGCTAACGTTAAATTCCACTGAGATAAACTATTGGTTCGTCAGACACTTTGATCGCTGCTAGGAAGATCGCCTGGGTTTGCTGCTCAGTTACCTCATTGTTTCACTTTGTAAAGGTTTCTGTTGGGTTTGTGTACTTTCTTTGCTTTTAGAAGGAATTCTGGACTCACCGAATGCACCTCGTCACAGTCTCTTTGTGAATTTGTGCACTTGCGTGGATAATTGCTTATTGCTTTCTTACAAATTTGTGCAGTTGCGTGGATAATTGCTTATCGTCTCCTTGCGAATTTGTGCACTTGGGTGGATAGTTGCTTATCGGAAAAAGATGCAAAAGTTGTGAATATTTCTTGACAATTTGTACTTGAAATTATGGCAGGCAGACCATCGGGGTCAACACAGATCAGCAATAATATTCTACAAGTTGACCAACTGGCAGCTGTAGATGTCAGACCTGATGATTTATATAGAATAATGAATGATAAACTACAGTGGTTGCAATGGCATGCTACGCACAGAATAATTCGGAACACAGTAGACTGTTCGTCTTGCAACCGTCGGATGTCATTTGTGTCAAGGCTAGAATGTTCGGATAGATTCTTGTGGCGATGTCGTCACTGTGATACTTGTTGCAGTGTACGGACGGGTTCGTTCTTTGCTAATTGTGAACTCCCAACTAAAAAAAATGTTATGGTAATTCTCAGCAGCAGCTACCGCATCTTCTGCAACTTCCTCCAATTACTTTACTCGTGAGTCCCAGGCACCTAGTCTAGCCCCCCATCCGCACCGCGCGTAACGGCACGGGGGATACGCTCGGCGATGAGTTTAATCGCGTTTTGGGCATGCCGACAAGTCCGACATCTACCGCTGCTAAATCCTCAATCGGAAGAACACAGTATTGCTAATCGCTGTCATCGTCTGTAATGTCTCGAAATTGTCAACGGTCGCTAATATCGTCTGCTAGTATTGTCTGCAGAAACGCTCAAAATTGTCTACGGTCGGTATTTATCGTCTGCTACTAACGTGTGCAATGTTGATATTGATTGTCAAGTAATCCCAGTTTTGCCGCGATTTGTTCCTTGGCAGAAAGTCCGTATTTTGAATATACGTGAACACTGTCGTTCGGATATTTTTGGATATTTAATGGCCAGAATGTGCCATCATTATATTATGGCGGCCTTTTTGGGGGTAAGTTCAAAGGAGAGCCAGTAATTCTATTCGTTGTTTTGGCTGACCAATATCAATAGAGATTTCGTTGTTATGGAATGTAAACAATTAAACCGGAAATGGATTTGCTTGGTTACGCAAGGGACTTCCTGTCCCTGAATTTAAAGCGTTTCCATACTAGTCACTATAAAAACCCGAGTAACTAAATACTGGCTGTTCAGAAACGAATCCGAACACCCGCGATACCTGTAGCAGATGTCAGACTGCTGAATAGCATGTGTTTTTAGAAAAGTCGTTTACTCACTAAAAAGTATTTTGTAATTTGGATTAGGGTTAGTAAATTCTTTAATATCTTTTTTTTTTTTTAGGCTTTCCATAATCTCCATTGTGGTAATATTGAACTCTGCGTCCATTTTTACATACAGATGTAAAATTTCAGTTAGAAAAAAGGCAACAACTTTAGTTAGAGCTTGCTGCCCTGAATGCAGTGATATATGGTTGCTAAGGAGTTCAGCAAAAAACATAAGAGGTGTAGACATAAAGCATACAAATTTTGTCACTTTAGGTCCAGTTTTCACTTGGGAACAGGCCGCCATCTTGTTTCTGTTATTTTCTATTAAAATTTTTGAGAGCACTTTCCGTCACTAAAACGTGAATATCTCTGCTTAGAACTGACATACAGACTTCACTGAGGTACCGTTGAACTCTGTTTTTAAACCTCTAAACAGCTATCGTGGTTTAAAAGCAAAAGGCCCAAAAAATAAAATTGGACTAAACACTAGATCAGTGATTATTTATTTAATCAAAATCATTTAATTAATAAGAATTAAGACCAGCAGAACGGTGATAAAATATGTATGCAGCAAATATACATAAGAATTTGAACCTGATTTATTTGTGTAGCATTTAAAATATGAAGTAGGTTTTATTAAGTGTCTGGTGGTAACTTACTGTTCAGTTTCTCAGCTAACTACACCTTACACAGAAGACTGCTCTCCGGACACGGAGTTTGTAAAGCTATATAGAGCGATCCGATTTCATGTCATTAAAGTTTAAATTGAATGTCCGTATCTTAGAGACTGTAAACAAATTAACTGCGGTTCATAGTTGTCCATGGATACCAAGGCCGTCTCCAGATAGGGCGTTGATTCAACCCTCAGGGATACAATTTCGATATATTATTTTCACTCATAGTGAAGACGTATCTTCTTCTCCTTCAGCATTACGCGCCTTTAAAGGGAACTGCTGCAGACATCACCCGCCTTTGCCTTATTTTTCCAGCTAGTAACAGTAACACCAAGTGGTTGTGTTGTAGTTGTAGGTCTGCTAGGGTGTAATCTCTCCGTCGTCTTCTTTATCTGCCCACAGCCAAGTACTTGTTTTTTCCAACTCTACCTCGGAGAATCCAAGAGTTCCCCAGTTAAGTCCAAAAGTATAGAGGTGTTACGGTGTGAAATTAGCAAAATACTACCTGTACCTCCACCC